CAGCCCTTGCTACATAGTTCGAGGCCAGTCTGAACCTACATAGTGAGATCCAGTCCCAGCAAAACAAAATGAAACAAAACCCTTTCCTATACCTGAGTATTCAAATGTATTACCTATTTTTATCTTCTGTTTGGTTTAATGTTTCTATTTTCATGTTTAGATCTTTGGTCCATTTTTATTTTAACTTAGTACCTGGTGAGAGATAAGGGTCTAGTTTCAGTCTTCTGCAAACAGATAACCAGTTTTCCCAACACCACTTGTTGAATAGGTTGTCTTTCCTCCAACATATACTTTTGGCAGTTTGTTGAAGATTAGATAGCTGAAGAGTCAGGGGAATTTTCTGTATCCACAGTTCTGTTCCGTTGACCCACACATAACTAGACAGGTGCATCTTCTGAGAGACAAGGAAGAGATGACAAAGAAAGAATACCTAAAGGAGATGAGGACATGACACAAGGACATTTTCCCTTTTTCTCTTTGAATTGCATCAAATTCTGTAGAAAGTACCGGAAAGGAAGTTTGAACCAAGAAGGATCTCAGGGATTTGGCAATAATGCAATTTACCTTATCTCATTACCTAACATTCCTACAAAGAAAGTGTAACGATTATACAGCAATAAAATCCTAATTTCATTTTTGACTTATAAAAGTGATAGTTTCATGATCCTGCCTAACAGAGAAACTAAAGTTTAGTAAAGAGAAGTAATTTGGCTGAACTCAAAACTGGAAGTGAAATTCAAATCTAGATTCTCTTTTATCATCTGATCTAATGTTCTTTCCACTGCATTGTTTTTATCTATTGCTATCATTTGTTGATTACTCATTACATGGATATGACTTTTAGTCTTTACAACAAAAAGAAGATATAATATTCTGTTATGCATGCATTTTTGCTGCTGTTATTCGCAGTTAAAAGGAGGAAATTACGCAGTACTAAAACTATGTTTTGAAAGAGACTTTTAAAAATATTCTTATTTATCCTCAGTTGCTCAGATGGGCAAGGAAGGGGGAAGAAAAAACAAGTGGAGAAGAGCAGGGAAAAGGGAAAAAAGAAGATACAGTACAATATTCCTGAATTGTTTTTCTAGAGAAACTCATGGAATCCAGATTTAGAGTCACTGATTCTCTTGCTGTGGGCTGTATTTATAAGATAAACTTGTGTTTTTCTGTGATATACATAGTTCATATGTGTTCAGTAAATAGCATTTAAAATCAGTATATATATTAAAAATTACTGCTTAACTTTAGAGAAATTTTTATAAACTTAATTTTTTTCCTTTTTAAAATTTTATTTTATTTAAAGAAAGACTAAACAAAACAGAAAATGGGTAGAAATAATACATACATTCAGAGAAAAAATAAACAGTAAGAAGTTACTAGTTAATGTTTACATACTGTCCTTTTATAAATAGTTGTTCAAGATACAAAAGTGGGACATAAAAAGTGGGAATTCAAGCAGCAAGACTGCAAACAGTTCTGTTCAACTGTCCAACAAAAACTTAGTAATATGGTTGTTAATCCTATACACTTAAACATACATGCAGTTATCCATGTCTTCATTTATGTTGAGATTAAACAAATTAGTTTTATTTTCTTACAAGATGTTTCTTCACTTGTTAATGATGGACAGTTTGGACTCTTAAAAATGATAAAGACAGTTTGGACTCAAAGTAAAACAGTTTTTTAAATTAAATTGCTATTTCTTAGTGAAAAACACTAAAATGTAGCTTTTATACTATCTTTTAAACTAAGTAAAACACTCATTTTCCAAGAAAAGAAGCTTTGTTAGATGCTTACGAAAGAACTCATTTTTGTTAATATTTTCATAATTTATACAGATTTGATTTATTATCACATGAATTTGGGGTTTTTAGGCACAATCCTTGAAATAAAATCAGAAACATAATGTTAAAATTTTTCTTGTTTGTATCAGCACAATTTTCCCTTGGTCATATGAATTTATGTTTTTATAATGTATATTTCCCTTGATTTTATTTTTATTTATTTTTATTTTTTATTGTTTTTGGTACCAGAAGTCAAACTCATGACCTCGTGCTTCCCAGGCAGGTGCTTATGCCGCTGAAATAAACCTACGGCCCTTTGATTGTGTGTATTTATAGAAGAGAATGTGTTTTTTTGGGGGAGAGGATGTGTTCTTTTGTGTGAGAGTATGACATTTTTTATAGATGAGAACAGTTATGTGTCTATAAGTTATCAAATTACCCTTCGGGGTTGTATTCTTTTTTATTTTTTTATTTTTGGTACCAGGGATTGAATTCATGACCTCGCGCTTGCCAGGCAAGTGCTCATTTATGCCACTGAGCTAAATCCCTGACCCGAGGCTTGTATTCTTAAAAGAGAAATTGTCTGGCACATTTCTGTTGCTTTTGTTAAATTCTTCTGCTAATTTGTTGTTGAATGTCAGTGAATATAATCTTTAGTATCTTTAGAGTTATAGTTACTATTAAATTATGTTAGACATTTGGATAGCAGTTCAACTTAGGTACTATCTAATGTACTTCAGCCTACTCCATCTCAATGACTTGAAAAAGTTAATGATTTTATCAACTTCTTATTTTTTTACTTACCACCAAGTGTATTCATTTATTTATGTACTTATTTTGCAGTTCCGAGGATAAAATTTAGGATCTTTGCATGTTAGGCAAATGCTTTACCACAAACTGAGCAAGTTGATATTTTGTGGGGGCGACAAATTACATTCTAAGGAAAATAACTAATTAATGCATATGCTTATTCCAAAGAAACAGGAGCTCCTTCAGAGAAACAGTGTAAGCTCATTAAAATTTAGGACAGTGCAATAGGCAAAGCTTATTTTGGACATAACTTCAAAAGCACATCAAAGAAAAGTAACTATAGACAAATTAGATTGCATCAAACTAAAAAGCTTCCCTATAGCAAAGAAAGTAACCATTGAAGTGAAGAGAAACCCTACAGAAAGGGAGAAAATATTTGCACACTAGATGTGAGAGGTTAATGTCCAGAATATATGAGGACTTCAAACGATGGAAGAGCAAAGAAACTCTAATAATCTTATGAAAAAACAGGAAATAGATCTAAATAAGCGTTTCTCAAAATAAGATGTATCAATGAATAATGGCTATATGAAAAATCTTTAATATCACAAATTACGAGAAAAATGCATATCAGAGCCTCAGTAAGGTAATTATCTTGTTAAAATTTGCTACCATCTATGAGAAAAAATTGGGCTTTGAGATGTATTTCAGTAGTAGAGCATGTGTTTAGGATAATAAGGCCTTGTGTTTGATCCCTAGCATTACTAAAAAAAAAAAAAAAAAGACAAAAGATAACAAGTGTTGGTAAGGGTGTGGAAAAAAGGGAATCCTCTTGCACACTGTGGGAATGTAAATTATCCATTATGGAAAAAATATAAAGGTTCTTTAGAAACTTCAAAATAGAACTAGAATATGATCCAACAGTCCTGTCCCTGAATATGAATCCAAGTCATTAATGTCAAAGAGAACACTATACTCCTGTGCTTATTGTAGCACTAGTCACAATATTCATGGACTGCAAACAACCAAAGAGTGAAATCTTTTGCATTTGCAACAACCTGGATGGAACTGGAGGCTACTATGTAAGTGAAATAAGCCAAACACAGAACTATACAAGTACTGTATGATCTCACTTATATGTGGAATCTAAAAAAATCAATCACACAGAACTGAGCCTGAGATAGTGGTAACCTGAGGCCTGAGAACTCGAGGGAGAGAGAGATGGAGAGAGGTTGACCAGTAGGCACTAAGTAGCTGTTAGATAGGGTAAGAAGTTGTAATGTGCTGTTGCACAGTACGGTGACTATCCATTGCAACCAAAAAGAAGAAAGAATTTTGAATGTTTTTCCCATATGAAGAGCTAAATATTTGAAGAGATAAATTTAACCTGGTAAACAATGTGTAAGAGTATCAGAACATCATGTGGAGCCCCATTAAAATGTACATGTTTTGCATTTTTATGTATCAGTTAAAACATAAGTTTAATTTAAAAAGGAACTATATCCTGATTCATGTTTTCAAGAGCTGTGAGTCTGTAAAGGGTCTGTGTATGCACTGTTAAGAAACCTTCATTCAATACCTTAGAAAGAAAGTATCTGGAAACTTCCCCATTTGGTAAAGCGCTCACATCACATCATCATCTTCTAAGAATCACATTCGCATTTATGTTTTCAAAATCTGTGTTCCTGATCTATAAAGGACCTACATGTCTGTGTAAAACACCTTGGAAAAAGAACTAATTAAAGCATTTCAGAACTGATGATGATTATTTTCTCTTTATTTCAGGTAATGATTAAAATGACATGAAGTGCCTTCGTATTTTAAGTGCTTTCGTTACTTAATTTATATCTTTGGATTTTAAAAATATTGAATACTTCTGTATGTCAGATATTATACACTATTTCTTTTGTTGTTTTCAATATCCATAGGAAGTAGGTGATAATCCCATTTTTGAAATGTTATTAAAATGAATTATATAATTCAGGCTTATAATGATTAAATAATATGACTAAGCTCAATTAGTTAATAAGGTATTGAACTTGCATTCAAGCCTGTGTAGCAGACAAAAGGGCTAGTATTTTTCATTTAATAGCATTTAGTATTTTGAACATAGAAAATCAGAAATATATTGCTTATTTTTTTTATGCGCAATAGCAGCATGTTGCTATTATTTTCCACATTGGATATCTGTTATAAATATATCATATTTATAAAATTGTATTTTTTTAACCTATGCAAAATTTGTTACATTTCTAAAGATACTAAAGCATGTACTTTCTTTCTATGGCTAGCTAATATAGTTTTCTGTTAGCACTGTGATTCATGCATCTATTTTTATAATGGTTATTATCACACTGTCATCTCCTAAGTGAACAAAATGTTAATTATAATTTAACTTTAGAGTACATTCATTATTATACATTATATTTTGGGCAAAAGCATAATCTAACTTTCTTTTCTTGTCAGCAACTTGAATTGGTGGAACCAAGTGGCTGGATTCACGTTCCCTTAACTGATAATCATAAGAAGCCAACTCGCACATTCATGATACAGATTGCTGTTCTAGCCAATCACCAAAATGGAAGAGACACCCACATGAGACAGATTAAAATATATACACCAGTGGAAGAGAGCTCTATTGGTAAATTTCCTAGGTGTACAACTATTGATTTTACGATGTATCGTTCAATAAGGTGATTTTAAAATGGTGTAAAAATGATTAAATATGTTTTTTGTCGTGCTATTACATATTGATATAATCCCATAAAGATATCTTTATTGAAAAAAATCAGTTGTTTTGCAGTTTTATGTATGTTTAAAAGTATTTTGCTTTGATAAATAAATCATTTTTGGGTCATACTGTCTCTGCTTTCCTAACATATAATAAAGCTTACACATTTTATATTACTAAAAGAAATATGAAGCCAATCATATTTTCTTGTATTTGAAAACTAGTTAAACTGAAAATTTCAAAATGTACACAGAGGGTTTTTTTAGTATTTTTTATAGGTACATGTTCATAGTACATAATTATATTCCCCCTTCTACCTTGTCTCCCATCCATCTCTTGGCCCTTTACCTTTTGCAAAAAATCTATTTTCCTTTTTCTATTATCTGTCTTTTATTTTATTTGCTCTTTTATATGTTATGTTTCTTGTATAAGAGAATTAATGTTACAATTAACATTAATGTGTCTGGTTTATTTTGCTTTATATTGTTTCTGAATGTTGTATCTTTTTAAATATTTGATCTTTTCAGTTGAACTTAATATTGTCTGATAAGAAGCCATCTGATTGCAGGTATATAATTAATTGTCTCATATTTATGTCCACAAGAAACTTAACAACCCTAGGGTTGTGTGTATCCTGATGATATCATGTTGGCTATTGTTGTATCACCTGTGGTTTATCTCAGTTATAGTGACAGAGTTAGTTTCAAATTCGTCTTTGAAATCTTAGCATTGCTTGGGTATAACATAGCCTGTGAACATTTATAAATGTACGAAATTACTCTTTATAAAGATTTAAAATGAATGGTTTAAAATCGGTAGTTGGTTTCATGTATTTTTCCCTTCTATGTCTATTACCTTTGAGGGGATAGTTACTGGACCACAGAACTTCCTCCCATTCACTCTTTGGAGAAGATTGCTTGGTGATTCATGCATTGCTAAGTATACATAGTCTTTTCTTTTATTCTGCATAGTATTATTTACTTAGATACTGTTGAAAAAAGATTGAATTTTTCACTATCAAAAATTTTGCTCTTTTATGAGCTTCAGAAAGTTTTATTATTTTTGTTTTGTTCTGTCTTTGTCTCTCTCCCCTCTTTCTTCTCTCTCTCCCCCCTCTCTCTCCTCCCTCTGTCTCCCTATTTCTCTCTTTCTGTCTCTGTCTCTGTCTCTTTTTTTCTGTCTCTCTTCTTTCTCTTGTCTCTCTGTGTCTCTGTCTCTGTCTCTCTGTCTGTCTCTCTCTCTCTCTCTCTCTGTGTCTGTCTCTGTCTGCCTGTCTCTCTCTCTGTTCTGGGAATCAAACTCATGACCTAGTGCATGCCAGGCAGGTGCTTAGGCCACTCAGCTGTATCCCCAGCCCTGTTTTGTTCCCTTTGAAGTAAAAACGAGTAGTTGATTTATAGGGCCAGCAAAAGTTAGTAGTCAAAGCAAATTTGAAATCACCAAATTCAGTAGGGTAGATGTGGAATGTGGGGCATTATGAAAGAAAGAATGGAAGGAAAACATAAAGAGGGGAACTAAAGAAAATGGAGAGACTCAAGGAAATGAGAATAGAAATACAAACTAGGGATTGATGCCTAATAGTGCTGTGAACAGCAGGGTCTTAGTTTCAAAGAAATCTATTTCTCAGAAAGTATAAGAACATTATTCAAAATAATGTTCTGCTTAATTAAAGCTTGCTTAAGAGAAAAGAGGAGAAAGACTAACCATTCATTATGTGATCCTATTGTTTATCTCCTACTAGTAGGAGTTTGACAAGAGACTCCTAAAAAGAAAGAATGAAGAAAAGTGTTGAGAAAACTAGTCTGTTTTTTACTTTTACACTCTTTTTATATTTTTCACATGTCAGCAGACTAACAGTCTTACTAGGGTTGAGAAAATTTTATAGCTGAGAATTATTGAGATAATGCTTTTTATTACAAGGATAATTTTAAATGCAGACCGACTAAGTGTTGTATTAACAAAGCAGAGTTTTCTAAAGCAGTTGTATTCACTTTTGTGTCTGCATGGTGCTGGAGATCAAACTCAGGACCTTATGCATATTAAGTGTGCACCATACCCATAAAGAACATGCCTAACCCACATTTCATTTAAAAAATGCATATTATATTGGTACAGCTCAGTAGTAAAGCAATCACTTAGTATGTGCAAGATCATGACTTTCAGCCCACTTTGTATTTGACAGATTTGTATCCAAAACATACAGAGAACTTCTACAACTCAGCAGTAAAAAGAAAAGAATTAAAAAATGAGTGAAAGATTTGAATACTTACCTTTACAAGTATGCTGTGACCCAGCCATTCTATTCCTTTACATTTGCTAACGTAAACCGAGCATATGTCCATATAAAAATTTGTTCATGAATGTTCATAGCAACTTACTTGTAGTATAAGTTTAGTATCTTTTATTCATAATGTTTAGACTCCGAAGTGCTTTGGGTTTTTGGATTTTGAAATACTTAACGTATACATGGGATATTTAGAGGCCTTTATTTTGGGGTTTCTAAACACTCATTTATATTTTATGCACTTTGTATACAGGTAATTTTATGTAGTATTTTTAGTGTGTCTACATTTCAACTGTGATATAGCACGTGAAGTCATATATAGAATTGTTTGTGGCATAACATGAGTGCTTAAAATGTCAGATTTTTGAGCATTTCAGATTTTGGATTTTCAGATTTTAGATGTTCAGTTGATATCTCAAAATTTTCTGGAAGCACCTCAAATCTGGATCAGCAGAATGTATAAAGAAATTGAAATATATTCATATAATGAAATATTACTCAGCAATAAAAATGATTGAACTATATGTGCAGAAATATGGATGAATTCACAAAATAATTCAGAGAAAGAAGTTTTATAGAGTACATACATATGATTCCATTTTTAAATAAATTCCAGAAAACATAGACATCTAAAGTGACAAAGTGGAGCAGTGATTCTGTAAGATAGGAGTAGAAAAATGAAATGGACTACTTTGGTGAATGATGAGTGTTCATTATCCTGATGATAACAATGGTTTCACAGCTGTACATATGTGCCAAAACTCATGAAATTGTATATTTTATGTGCAGCTTAGTGTATATTATACCTCAATAAAGCTGATTTAAAAATATGTACTTTATCTCTTTCAAATAGGAATTGCTTAAAGATACCAGATGTGAACTATTTATATTTTTTATTGTATGGGACCTGAGAATAAAATTCTAAAATTGGAAAAGCTGTTGTTGACAGTTAATAACACAGTGACAGAAAATTCACTGATTCATTTGCAAGTAAATGCTTTTTAGTACTGGACAAACTATGGTTATAAAATTAAAAATTTTGATCTCCCTAGTAATGTAGGCATAGATCAGTTTATTATGTCAGGAAATAGTGTCACAAGAAACTATAAAATTGGAGTTTTAAGTTATAAAGTCATGGAACACTAATAAATACTCAAGTTTACAAGGACTTACTGATTCAACTGATATGTTTATGCCTAGATTTTGGAAATTAAATTAGATGTAATAAGGAAACCAAGATAAATCTGATGAACAGTTTGCTTTCCAGTTGTTTACAGTGTACTAGGAAAATAATAGGTCTTTAACCAATCAAATCATGAGCTTGAAAGTCTAAGATCTTTCATGAATTTAAAGGAGTGTAGAGCAGAAAGAGAATTTAATCTTACTCAGAAAGATAGAGGTAAAGCTGAAGGAGACATTGTAAAAAGGTATAATTTTGAAAGACTATTTGATGTATCAGCCAGTTTTTCACATTTTAAGCCTATTGTTGAATCCAGAGTGTCATTGTTTTTATATTACTATAATTTGAGTAACATGATTTGTATATTCAGAGCCAAGTGATGTTTTATACATTTATTCTTGTTTGAAAGTGTTCAATGATTAAAACAGATGAATCTTGAAAGGTAATTTTAGATACTGCCTTCTGTTCTTCTAGTCATTATGACTATTATTACAGGATAAAATATATGTAATTTATTTAATTTACCTATTTCTATTTGTTTTAGGAAATTATTATTGCTATAAAATTCTTAATTAGAAAAATACCAGTTTATTATTTTAATTAATTCTCAGTTATTAGTTTTAGCTAGGTAACTCACTTTTTAAGATGGATTTTCAAAGTATATTACATTAAAATATTATGAAATATAATTTCTGTAATTATGGTTGTGTGAGAACATTTTTGCTTTGTAGATCTTTTAAGCAAGATTATCTTTTACCCAGATAGTTCTGGTATTCCTGACTTTTGCTATGACTCCTTGAAGTATGACATTGGGAAATTTTTACTATGTAAGACTGTTTACCAGCGTTCTACATGGACGTTCCCCATGACAAGGTCTGTTAGGACTGTTTTTTCCCTTGTACCCAGAAAGCCTTGCAAAGTGGAAGTTGATGAAGCCTTGGTGATTAGGTTATTAATTTTCCATGATAATATTTATTAACAGGAAAAATTTAAGCCTAATTTATTGAAAAACTTCATATTATAAATCTTAAGTGTTATAATCCATGGCAGTTTCATATAAATAGTTATTTTTAATACTTGTAAGCAATCTATTTTTTAGTTTTGTGTGAAAATACTCTATTCCACAACTATCTCTAACACCATTGTGTGTCTTTTCTGGTGAATAGAATCAACTATTTTGCAAAGAAGCAGACTTACAATTAAACTAATTTAGAATTGTTCTGCCTACTTATTAAACTTTCCTGTGTAAATTTTTATTTAAGGGAATGGTATTTTAATGGTATAATTGTAGTTCTAACATTTGCTATCTCAGTCAAAATTACCAAGTTTATAGCAATAGCTTTTCTCTGAAGTAATGCAGCAATGACCATAAGTCTAAAATGTTTTTCTGTGCATTCACTTATCCAGTATTGAGTGCATATTATTGATCTCTGCCTGTGGTCTTAGTAATAATTGTCCAAACTGTTTTTATAGACTTTGTTCGGAGACTACCTCTCCTCTGTACACTGGCACTCATCTGTAGCTGGAGATCCAGATTTTAACAGATCATTTCCTGTTATTACTACAGGAGTATCAAAATACTGATCACTTACCAAGAAGTAAAATATCCAAAAGCCTGAAGTGGAGAGTTCACCCAACTGTTTGTTTTTCCCCTGTTAGAGTTTGTAAGAATCACATGTTGGTGGGTATGAAGCTTGAAGTCAAAGAGCCTTGATCAAAGGAGAGTAAGTCATCAGGTACTAAGTTCTAACATTATCAAGTGTTTACCAAAGACAATGGAAAGGAATTTTCTTCCTAAGTAAAAGTGCCTGTTTTCCTAGCATAGTATTCAAATAGATGCAAGTGACCTTCAGAAGTTTGTGTGTGTGTGTGTGTTTCTAAGCTATTCAGGCAATTTTAGTAGAAAATTTATCATTTCTCTTGAAATTTCCAGTTGTTAGGTAGGTAATTTGGTCTCATTTTGACTCTTTTTTCTGCCCTTACACAGTAACCCTAAGACCTGAAGATTCCTTCTCCATGTTGATTACCACTTTCCATCTTTCCCTCTCCCCTTGTTCTAGGTCAATTGCAGGAAACTTCCAGCTGGACTACTATTGGCTTCAGTTTATGCTAAGATAGTTATCCAAACAATATCCCATCGTATGGCTTTCTACAAGTATTTTCCCTAGTTCATGTTACCTACATAAATGTACCTTACAAATAAATGCAGTGTCCTCCGGTGTGCTTTCAAGGCCTTACATATTTCTTTCCTGCCACTTTTATAACTGTTGTTTCATTATTCTTAGGCTTTCTGTTCTAATGAAATGAATAAATACATTTGTTAGTTTTTGGCAAATATCTCCCTCATTTTTGCTTTTTCTATTCAATATAAACATCAAAAGGCCTGTAATCTTGTCATTTTTCTACCTATTAGTATTTTTTAAACATTGTATTTATTTACTAAGATTCTGGCAGTAACATTATGTAACACTCAACTTGTTTATAAAACAAAAAATCAAAACCTGCCTTTTACATGCTATTTGGCAAAAATACCATTAAACAATAAACTTGAAACAGCAAGAGTAAAGAATTTAAAAAGCTGAATACTGCAGCCTAACAATTCATAAGAATTGTACACTTCCCTTTTCTTAATTATTAATCCTTAAGCCTAAACTACCTTTGGGTAAGGTCCCCACCCATATTCTCACCCATTAGCAAAAGACAGGGGAAACCCAAGGTTAAGATTGAAGACAGTCAGCGAGTCAATCAGATTTCAGGAACCAACATTGGAAGAAGGATCCCAATAAAGGAAATGGAAACAAAAATCCACAAGTATTTCACTTTCAAATACTCCCTACTCATCCTGAGTAGCTAACAACTCTCTCCCCAATTTATCCCACCCTCAAATACATCTTTTATTTTAACCTCTTTTTGCTGATAATCAGCTTAGGATCATTGGGAGCTGCATGGTCCAGCAGAACAGTGGCATAGCATTGCGTTTGTGATGTTATACCTGTTGTCAGAGTTTACAAGGAAAACCATTTAATACAGGACACAATTTATAGAATTACTTTATAATATTCAGCTAAAGAGTCAAATGCAGAAGAGTGCAGATCTGTCCACACACTAAAGGATCTAGCTGAAAACCTAAATAAGTGTTCTGCACTAGCCGGTAGAAGACCTGGAGCCCATGGCAATGCCCTAACTCGAAGCCAAGAGTCTCAAGTCTATTTCACAGATAAGCACTGGGAAGGCCCAAAGATCAGTGGTGGAAGCTAGAAAGTCTAGGTCAGTTGTATGAAGGATCTGTGCCAGCAGGCTGAGAGATACACACTGGAGCCCGGAAACAACACTCAGAGTAATGACCGGCACTCCCCTGGAAAGAGCAACACCCATCATCAGCAACAGTGAGATCCAGAGCTTCTCCAATGATGAACGGCTGGGTTCATATTAGGAAAGCCAGCGGAACAGACTTCTCCAGGAGAGTCAACAACACTCCATCTTCCCTTCTGGAGCCAAAAAGTGATGCTCAGAGTAAGGACCAGATCTCTCCAAAGTGAACCTCAGCCATCCTCAGCAACAAAGAGGTCCCAAGCTTCCAAAGATAAAGCCAAGTTCATCTCAGGAAAGTGAGAACAACAAGCTTCTCCAGGAGAATCAACAGCTCACCATCTTCTCTAGTTCTCTTTTTATGATGTTGACACCAATCCTCAGGTGGGCCCTCCACACCCAGAATCACACAGACTCAGTTCACCTGGTGTGTTACAAGTTGACCACTAGTTAATCCACCATGACACCCCTTTCTAGATGTTACAGTGCCAGTATCTATATGAAATAATTCTCCAAAGCTGAAGTATAGTCAAAAATTAATTCATCTTTTATTTTAAGCTCTGTTTCTTTAGTTCTTTACTGGTGATGGGCTTAGGGTCACTGGGAGCTGCATGCTCCAGCAGAACAGTGGCACAGCATCGCATGTGTGCTGTATACCTGTTGTCAGTTTACAGGGAAACAATTTAATACAGGACACAGTTTATAGAATTATAATAGTCGCCCAAAGAGTGTAATTCTAAAAACCATTCAGTTATTGATGTGGAGGTAAACCCAGAGCTTTGGGGCTATCTCATGCTTGCTGTTTCTCTGGTTCACTCAGCAGCATATGGCAAAGTCCAAGGATGTCATTAAGCACAGTAAAGGGCAAGACTGCTGCTACCCAGCTCTGATCTCCACAGGAAGCATGGCTACTGTGTCCACAGAAGTAGGCTGTGTGAAGATTTAAGGCATATTATTCTGCTAGCTAAAGAGATGGAAAACCACTCCTGCCTCCGCCCTAAAAGCTCCTTCCTGAGGTAAATAAAAATATACGCGGAGGAGAGGAAGGTAAAAACATTTATCTACAGAGTAGAGATTTCAAAATATTAAAGTAATGCCTACTTTAAAAATTTACAGTCATCTGGTCATTTTTTATTACATCTTAAAAATGAATTAAGATTCAATTTCTGTTGGTTTATCATTAGATACTTCTGGAAAAAAATACTAGCTTTATTCCCAAATATCTTAACCACTAGTATGGCTGCAGTGTATTATCTCCTGGGGTTATCATGCATCGGAGAAGAAAAGCAGATGTTCAAGCAGCAGGTAGCAATTATGGCCCTTTCACACAGCGGCATCTGA